GCAGCAATCTTGTCTGTCTATCTTTATTGGATAATATATCATTATTCAAGTATATACAAAGTCTATCAACGAAAATACAACTAGTTACATATATAACTTTAGTCATTATCTAATTAAGAGTTCTGTCCAAAAGTTACCCACTAGCTGTTATACCTGAGATCCACCTATGAATCCCCTATTTAAACTTTTTGATTTCAATCCTATTGCATATATGCAATACTTTTATTACCATATATACATATTAGGTTAGAGCTATCTAATTACTATTTATATTAAGATACTACCTTATTAGATGTTATTAGATATTTATAATTCCTCAAATTTATCCTTGATGCAGACTTACTAAGTAGGTACCAAGATTACCTCTTAGATTTATTCAATTTTAGTAGATCCCATATCTACTAGAACCAGTTTGGTGTCAGAAGTGTTCAAATTTTGGTAAGTCTATTTTTTTTTCATAATTTTCTTTTATATTTACCATATCACCTGCTAGTGCACCTTCTCTCCATTTCTGGTATGTTTATTGCTTCTCTTGCATTGAGCATCAACTTTCCATATCAGAAATCTTTTTTCTAGAAACTTCCTTATACATCAATCTTCTAATCACATGACTTAGCACAGGACTTTGCATACATTCATATGCTTCTGTAGATTACAGAGTTGCCTTCAGCTAAGATTGAACTATTGACCTTGTCTGTGAAAGGAGGTGTGCCTAGACCACTAGGCTATGAAATTCTATCTTTTGTATTTGTTATTTATAATACTAATTAAACTGTAAATAATTTAAAATTATACAATTCATGACAAGTTGTTATAACATATGTGCAAAAATTCTACTAATTCTATAATTTCATTTATTTTATTTCTATTAGTTCTATTATAAATGTCTTGTTAATTTCTTGCTCTATTATATTCTATTCTAATTTCTATTGCTCTATTTTATTGTTCTATTGTATTGTTCTATAGTTCTATTATTTATTGCTATATTAATATTCAATTACAGCAATTTTTTGTTCTATTTATAAATTTATTCTATCAAAATTCTATTGCTCTATTCTATTGTTCTATTTATCTATTACTGCCAACACTAGTCTTAATTATATTAGATTATGCATAACTATTCAATAGAATAGATCTAGTATAATCGAGAAATATACCATATAGCTCAGACTATAGTATCTCAAAATCCAAGTAGTGCTAGGTACTTGGAAATTTTTTTTCTTATAAAAATTATACGATAAGGTAAAACCCATATTGTAAATTAGTAAAATCTGTTATGCAAATCACATGAGGGTAAAATCCACATTTGCATAATAAAAAATATAGATTTTATCCTAATGTGATCTACATAGTGAGTTTCACCCTCTTCTAAATTTTTTACTATTAATAAAAATCAATTAATGTAGCATAGGTGTTCCCTATATTATATCTGAGTATTTTGCATTTCATCATATAATTTTTTTAAGGGGTACTTTAATATAGAAGGGTACTATGGTCTGCACTGTACAATGTTATCCAAATCTGACTAAAGAAGTAATTACATTTTTGCCTAATTTTGAATAATCTCAAACCTAACAACCAATAAGCATATATAATGATAATTACCTTGATAATGTAAATTTTTGCTTCATATCTGTTAGTAATGTTTTCTTGTTTGGTTAACAAAAAGGGCTTTTTGATAAGATGCATTATTTGCATTTAATAATTAAACTTTATAATTTAGTTTTTTTTATAGTTGGTCTGCTTGTGTAAAATCATTTAGAATAGTGGGTTAAACTATTTTTTTTGAAAATAAATTATAAATCTCTTGATTATTAAAAATTTTTTGTTTTGTAAAATTTATATAAAATTTGTATTATTGTCTTAAAGTAATTTAGTTGTAAGTTAAACCATTTTTTTTAAAAAATAAAAAATAAATAATCATTATAAATATTTATAAAATTTTTTACAAAAAAAAACAAATTTAATTTTGATTTTGTCTTTTTTTATAGTGATTATTAACAAACATCATAATGGAAAATTTATATGAAAGTATTTTTGATATATCACAAATTAGCAAGACTATTGAAAAACAAAATGAAGAAATAAGTTTTTAAAAAAAATTAGTAAATAAAGATGAACATTTAAGAGTTGATATATAAAATAATTTTATTTATAGAGAATTTGATAGAAAAGGTTATTATAGCACCAAATCTTAGTATTGTACTAAAGGAAGGTAGAAACAGAACAAATCTTCAATTATGAAATCCCACTTGTTCTGCATTATAAAGACAATGCTCCTAATAAAATAAGACATCATTGGCTAGTTGAAATTGCAAAACAAAATGACAATATAAAAGATATTAACTATAGTAATAATGAAAGTATATCATCAATCTCTTTAATAAGATTTAAATTAACATGTTTATATCCTAAATCTTTTGAATTCATATTCAATGAAAAAATTAATAAAATTAACAAAGCTTTATTTAAAGTTTTTGTTTGTATTAGGATTTCATTTTTAGTAATTAATAATTTATTTGTTTGAAATCTTTTTAATTTTCTTGAGCTAGGGTATACTTCTTCTAAAAGAGTTACATTAGCTAAACAATTGCTTGATGAGGTGGCTGCTCACATAACTGTACAAACTAACAATTTACTTGATAAAGAGCATAACTTAACTTTAGATAAAGAATGTTATATAAAGTATTATTAATTAAAACATATTATAATAAGGTTAAAAATTATTATATCATAAGAATATTATTAATTAATTATTTATACTAATACTTGATATAGTTTATTATATTTAAAAATGTGCAAGTTTAAAATATATTATTACTTTTTAATTTTAATTATTCTTAAAATTTACTTTTTAGATTATATTTACAAAACATAATATATAATAATTACTAATAGGTAATAATTACATATATTATTATCTTATTCATCTTTAATTATACTGAACAAGTGTTATCTATTATAATATATTTTAATTAATAATATATTATAAAAACTAAATATAAGTATTATAGCAGGTGCTGTTATACTATATACTTATATTTGCATTATAAAAATTTTTATTATACATATAATAATTTTATATTTTAATATAATGTATTTTCATATATGAATAGCTAAAGTACTTTAATAAATAAATTATAAACTTGTTAAATAATTACTACTTGTATATTTATATATATTTAGTTGTAAAACACAGCAACTGTTAAAAATTATTTGTTATATTAGCTGCTAAAGTAAAATTATATACTAAACTTATAAGAAATATAACAATTTATATATATATAATATTACAGATAAATTAGAGTTATCAAATTACTTATAGTTAAAATATAATGTAATGTTAAGACACAAAGCAACTCAAAAGAAACATAAAAGATTTAATCTAAGAATCAAGAATCTTATTGCTACTAAAATTCTAGTTTTAAAATATATCTTTATTAATTTTAAACAATAACTTCACTGTTTTTTTATTAACAGAATTTATAGAATTTTTTATACATAAGAGATTTATTAGGTTTTTATATTGGATAACTAAATTTAGTATTAAGAAAATCTACAAGTAATTAATAATAACCTTTTTCTTATAAAACTATTATTTAATTATTCTTAATAGTTTTTGTTTTAAGTTAAACTTAATATAGCATTATTAAATATTACTTTCATATACAGGATTTTGTGACTTAACTTTAAGTTAAATTATGACTTTGGGTCAAATTATAGTTACATTATACAGATTGAATAAATGAATAAAAATGAATAATAAGTAAATAACAGAAAAAAAATTTGTTATTATTCTACTCTATATCTGCCAAATAATAGCAATATAACAGCAGCATATACAGATTAAATAAATCTATACTAGTAAAATATCAGAAAACTGATATTAAATGAAAGTTAAATAATAGTTTAATAATATTATAATAATATTTAAACCTAATATATTAATAATATAAAACAGAAATTTGGCAAAAATAAAATACTTTTTAGAATTATATTAAATAATTTATAGTAATCTTTTAGTGTTATTTTATTAATGATATTTAATATTAGCTAATTAATAACTTAATTAAAATTTTGATATTAATTATATAGGAATAATATTAGTAACTTTCAAAATACTTATTATAAGCATATTGGAATTCTGATATTACTATATTTAAAACAATTGTTTTTGTTTGTTATTGCTTTACTGTATTAGATGTTACTAAAACATTTTTAATTAAAATGATAAAACTAAATATACTTATGAAACATTTTATTCAAAAGCAATATTACAATTTAAAAAAAAATAATAATATAATAGTTATACATAATTTTAAACAAATTGATAATGTTAACAAAAATGCTAATATATTCTTTTTAATTCATTGCTTCCTATTCATTATCAGTAATAACAGCAGTTTCTTCAGCCTTTACTTTATTTGTATTATTATTATTTGTGCTACTATTACTAATATTACTACTATGACTTGCTATAGCTTCTTTTTTATAATCTAATTTATCTACTTTATCATTATCATCATTCTTATTATCATTATCATTATCTTTTTCTTCTTTATCTTTTTTTTTAGAATAATATAAAGTAGATATAGTTCAGATAAGAACATTTGCTAGCAGCCTAAAATTATCAACCTAGCTTATATTATTATATTATTGTTTTTTGGTATATTTAATGTGCAAAATATTTTATATCTACTTGGTCAGTAAGCTGCATAAATTTTTTAACCTAATTTATATAGAATAAAAAAGATAAAATAATAATTTATAATTTTTTTTTTTAAATATTAAGGTGAGTACTTGTGACTCAGAATTTTATTAATAGTATATTTGGCTAATAATTGCATTACAACCACAAGAGGCAACTATGAAGAGAGTGTACAACTAGTTATTTGTACAACTTTAGTTATTGTCTAATTTAGGTAGTTTACCTGAAGGTTCTACACTAGCTGCCATATCTGAAACCCACTTGTAGGTTCCTTATTTAACTACTCTGTTTCTATATTTACCCACCTACCTTTGCCTATCAATGATTCTGGCCAATGCTAATAAAAATATGCCATGACTACTAAGTCTTTAAAGCAGTTCACTCGCATAAGAAACTTTTAACCTTGTATTAAACCTTCCAGAATTTTCTGTATTCTATTCTTACAGCTGACCTGATATCACTATGGCCAAGACTAACACTGATAGTTAGGGCATAACATTAAACTGCTATGCTCTTGTAAAGTTCACCCTAACTCTGATACTAAGTTCACAACATATTCTTACTATTTTAGTATTCAATTCAAGTTCCACCAAGCTGCCATTCCAGATAGTCTAAAAAGGTAGAATGAGACTATACCTCTAGTTTACATATTTGCCAGCATGTATTCTTTTTCTCTAAAACCTGAAAATTTTGGCAGCCTGGTTAGTTCATCCAGTCCTTCTTCAAAGACTGGCACATTTGACTGATTTCACAAGTTTTAGCTTTATTTCATAAGTCTAGTCTTTACAGTAGCACTGTCGAAGGTTTGGGTTATCTCTCTACTTAGATCTTCCAAATAGGCTTCCATTTTTCTATCTGGTTCTTGTGATTTATATGGCCTAAGGACTTATCTTAGATTTACACTGCCTGGTACCAGTTTGTGTTCCTTTGTACAATGTTGTATAAGTGCCTAGACCTTTTAGTCATGCTGGTATGACACAAGTTACAGATATCTTATCCCAACTAATCATAGAAGACAGTTAGCCATAACACAAAAAGAATTGCAAATTTTCACTGTTACTGAGATTTAAACTCTAGACCTGCCACTTAGGAGTTGACAACCTATCTACTTTACTAGGTCACAACACTTATGAATAACTTATTTAAGTCTATATATTATTAAATTTTAATAAAAATTAATTAAAAAATAAAAAAGTTTTATTAGTAATATATTTTTAATTTACTATATAAAAATCTGTTATATTATCTAGATCAATGTTGTTACAGGACAGCTCTGAACAAATTGTGAACAATTGTAGATAATTTTGGACAAAAAAACAAACCTACATTACTCAAAATTTTATTAAAATAACCTATTTTAATTTTTAAATAAAAATAATCAGAACTATAAAAAATATATAATCATATCTTTTTTAAACTAATTTATTAAATTTTAAAGTCTAAAAATTCTTTGAACA